TCGATACAACAATGCAATATAGAATAGATACCTGCCTGTTCACAATAAAATAAAGTAGTTCCTATCGTTATCAACCTACTTTTCTTAAATTAAAGTCACTAATGAGTGTCAAACGAGTCAAATTATTTGCGTATCATTTTAAAAAAGTGCATAACAGTTTCATATACTTTTATAAAGTTTATTTTTGAAACAAGTACATCTTTTTGTACTGCACTGAATTTCAAAGGCTGGCACTGGTATTTTGACATCCCTTGCCCAGAAAACAGTGACTGTGAAGTGCAGGCCTCTCTTAAACAAATAAAGCATTTCTGGGGTTGGGTTGGTTTAAAGAGCTATTTGTCTAAAAATATTTTAGCCATATGCTATTTGCCTAGGAAAGTAGAATTTAGACTGAAATAAATGGAATAAAACTATTTGCCTAGGCAGAGAGTATCTGGCTAGGAAAAAGCTAATTACCTGAAACAACCATTTGCCTGCGACATATTACATTACATAAAATACATATCGGGTAGGCGGACCAACCAACCTTGCACCGCGACCCTAAGGATCTATTGTACCCCGATAGATATCGTTATCAAATTTCACCGTGCAGTCCAATGCTCTTAACGAACATTAATACCTTGCTCGGCGAAAGGTCATTCAGATCTTTTGAGGAGATAAACTGCGACCCAAAAATCGAGAATCTGATACGGTTAACGGCAGGGCAGTGGCATAAAACATGCTCAACCGTCTCTGCTTCCTCCGCACATAGTCGGCATTCAACATCGTCGGCTAAACCCAACAAGTTGAGGTGTGCTTTTAATCGGCAGTGCCCAGTAAAAACACCCATTAGAACTTTTATGCTACTACGGGCAAGTCCTAAAATATTCCCGGGTTTGACAGTGGCGATGTTAATAAACACCTTAGCATGTCTCATTCCAGGAGAACTGGTCCACAGTAGGCGAAGTCTCTCTTCAGCCCACAGTCCAATCCTATATTTGGCCATCGCAAATGATACACCAACTGCTGGTTCCGGTCCCACAAACGCTTCAGCGCTGCCATCTCGTGCTAGCTTATCTGCCGCTTCATTGCCAGCAACCCCAGAGTGACCCGGGACCCAGATCAGAGAGACTCTGTTATCACAACTCAGTGTGTTTAATGTTCTCTTACAATCATTAACCAGAGCCGACACCGTTTTCACGGCTTGCAGCGCCTGGAGAGCGGCTTGACTGTCTGAGAAAATTCGTACTGTCATGTTCTTCACCCCTCTTTCAAGAAGGATTTTAGCACCCATGTCAATAGCAAATACTTCCGCCTGGAATACAGTACAGTACGTACCCAGGCTGTAGGCTTGCTTAATTCGAGGTGTCTGGCAGTATACTCCTGCTCCTACCCCTTCAGGCGTTTTTGATCCATCTGTGTACAAGCAAATGTCTGCCCGAACCAGAGAATTTTCATTTTCGATCCAGGACTGCCGCTCAGGCAGTACAATCTGGTATCGAGCATTAATCACTGATAGTGATACCGCCAAATCTGACGGCATTGATAGCACAGTATCAGTGCTTATAATGTCTTCCGCAGCCCATTGGTAGGATATGTCGGAACAGTTTTGCGGAACACCTGTATACTATACAGAGTGTCCCGTAACTTCCGCATCAGAGCATTATACGGTTGTAGGATACATTATTCTGAAGCGATCTTTCTAATAAAATTTTTTCGAAATGCCCTACTTTTCTTAAATTAAAGTCATAATGAGTGTCAAACGACTCAAATTATTTGCGTAACATTTTAAAAAAGTGCATAACAGTTTCATATACTTTTATAAAGTTTATTTTTGAAACAAGTACATCTTTTTGTACTGCACTGAATTTCGAAGGCTGGCACTGGTATTTTGACATCCCTTGCCCAGAAAACAGTGACTGTGAAGTACAGGCCTCTCTTAAAGAAATAAAGTTTTCTGGGGTTGGGTTGGTTTAAAGAGCTATTTGTCTAAAAATATTTTAGCCATATACTATTTGCCTAGGAAAGTAGAATTTAGACTGAACTAAATGGAATAAAACTATTTGCCTAGGCACAGAGTAGAACAACCATTTGCTTGCGACATATAGATTACCAATGAATTCAAAACAACAATAGATTCAGATTAAACAACGTCCTGCAACTTTCTTAATGTTGTGATTGTTAATATTTATTATGACTTATTTTTTCTGTTACGTAAATAATTATTGTCAGGATATTTAAAAATTGTTGGAAAATCAATTTTCGAGTAACCTTTTTAACGTTTCAACGGTGAATTGTTTTTCTATTACCGCCAAAACTGCAACACAATATTTATTATGGAAAAATATGGCGTAGAATGCCTGTCGACAGGTTTTCAATTAAAATATTTTCGTTTTAGAGGCGCGCTGCGCTCGTTCGCATTTTATTCCGATTGATTCCGCTTATGAAAATCCCCGTCCTATATATGTATTATTTATATTGTCATTTATATACGGTTTTCAATTCTTTACATTTTCACTTTTTGTTTGATGAAATTTTAAGTATATCTTAATGCATAAATTTGTAGGTACATAATTTAGAGTGGGGTGTAGACGGAAAGTTAAATAGAAAAAAAAAAACTGCGTGCATGACTTGAACACAGACGACAGCTGTTGCGTATAGTGTAGCCACAGGTGAAAATAGGGGGCTGTTCATGCACCCCACGGTTATTGTCCTTTGTCGGGGAGCCCCACTTGCGTTTATATTACGAGACGTGCGTGCGTATCGTTCCCCGTAAAATTGTACATTGCGTAGTTCTCGTCGTCAACGACCGACGTCATACTCAGACATCGAATCGAGATAACAAATCTTTTCTGCGTCCGCTAATTAAAAACCGGCGGCGAGATCCGATTTTATAAATCGTTCGTAGGCACGTACCGGTCCCGCTCAGGATTATTTTCTCGTGTTGCGCGTTATAACACGCTTGTTGCTCGCCACTTTAGATATGCATCGGAATAAATAAAAATGCCCGAGGCGCGTACGGCCATAAAGAAGCCGTCAGAGAATCGACGAGGATTTATTTACAAACATGTAAAATATATAAGTTACATCAAATAAATCAAAATGATCAATTCTTATTAATTCACATCGAACGGGAATTCGCAAACAGTCATCAGTGTTTAGATTCATGGATTCACAGCCCCTTGTTGCCCTAATTGAAATATACTCGGTTTCAGCACGAATTCTCGACATTGTCGTAATCTATGGCGGCCCTTAACAATCCCGCTTGAATGTCAACAGTGGTATCGGTACTGAACATTTCCAACGTCGATGTTGAACGGTCGATGGCATTGATTATCTTTGGAATTTACACATTGAAACAAAATATTTTATATTATTCTTAAATCAAAAAAAAAAAAACTTTAATCTTTATAACCAGGATTCATTAAAGCGGGTAATAAAATAATAATGAGCCAATTAAGAGTGGTCGTTATTTTTGTATCTTCACCTGTTGTTTCGTTTTAATTTTAACGAATAATTATTAACAAAAAATAACTTTAGGATGAGTTATTTATTTGTTTTTAAAAGAGACAATGATATAGTTTCGTTTCGGGTGTAAGTTTTAAGTCTTACAAAGCTTCGAAGCTTCGCCGCGTGAATAATTACTCCACTCTGAGCCAAATTTACTTGCGATGGTTGGCCCGAGTACAACAAACCGTCTTCCGTGTAACTTACCGATACTTTATTAACACACCGTTTAGTTTCAGTTTAGTAATCATTAGTAGAGTTTTGGAACGAGACTTTTTGTGTTATATTGTTGAAGGCGAAAGAGAGTGGGTGCGGGCGCTTGAGAAAGAAAGAAAATCGAAACCTTTTCTCTTTTTTACAGGTATATAGGAACACACAGGTATAAACCGGGGACGTAGCACGGACATGACTACAAAAAGGAATCCGAACATTGCTGTCGTTCGGTTTATTTAACATCGCCTCGGCCCTTCCGACGATGATAGCATTGAGTAGCCTAGCCTATCTTTTTTGGTCGTTTTACTTCAAACCGTTTCTATTCTTTTAAATATCACTTAGAACGAGGTTTTTAATACTCTATGTAATTAGTTAGAATGATATATTATCTAGTATTTCCGCTAGAGATTTTCTCAAAGTGTACATTTTTTCCTCCCGAGAAAGCCTTTACAAGTCTTGGAGTACAGTTACGAGTCGTGGCAATCAAGTTAGCGGGATTGCTAAAGGAAGAAGAGCCGAGCGTTGAAGATCCAGAAGAAGAAGTATAAATATTCCTCTGTGCATGCTTTGTTTGGTCGCGCCGTGGGGGCATTGCTCACCGGTTGTTCATGGCTTCGGCATCCCGGCGACACAATATGGGCATATTACATTTCTAGGGGAGGTAAAACATGAATGTTTCTTAATTTAGGCAACAATCACGCGGTGCCCAGCAGGATACGCACACACAAAGAACCCGAGAAGTAACGTACAAAACAGCTGGCGAAGTCGGACTAAGAATCTTTACCACTCTCTCTCTCTCCCTCTTTCTTTCTTCTATTTAGATTTGTTACTAACATATAATTTTTTTTATTTAAGAATGTTAAAACTGAATTAAATAGTCGTCGAGACGCCTTTACCCTGCGTTCCACCTCCCCTAACTCGCCTACATAGACGTCGGTGTATCTCATATCTACGTTATTGATCTACCGAGTCGAACGGTAATAGACAAATACGAGTCTCTGAACCCCCGGTTATGTCCAAGGGGAGTTATCGGAGGTCGTAATGGGGTTAGGGCTCGCACGAAATGGGGCTAAATTAACTTTGGGACACCGTTTGACACATTTAGGTGGTTTGTACAAATATTAAAGTAAACAAAAAGAAAATAATCAAGATCATTTCGATAATAGTTATGCATTTATTTATGGGAATGAACGAAAGTAAAAAAAATTGTCAGAAATTTTCTTTTAGTAACTGGTAGAGAAATAAAACTTTGATGTACTATATTATATATAAAGTATCTAGAAAATAGATCTTACCTGTCTGTTGCCATATGCATGTCCTATCTCAAAATTGAAAATAGACGTGTCCAAACCCAGTATTAACGTTCTACCACGTTTCTATTTCTGATTTATGCTTCATTGTAAAGTTGTTTTGTCTCAGGTCTTGATGCATGCAGAGGAGCTAGCAAATAGTTTCTGAAACAGAACATTTTATTTAGAAAATTGGTTGAACTAATTTTATTCGATGGTTAATTTTTATATCGAATTTGAAACCGTTAAGTAAGGATCGATATAAAAGATCTACCAGAAAGCGCTATCAACGATATAAATATGGGGGGAAAAAGATTTTTGAGCTATCTGTAAGATAAAGTTACCAATTACTTTATCTAGTGGTTTTTTCAGCAATATCTAGTATTCTGTACACAGTAAGCAGTAGCTAGCCTTTTGCCATCAGTTTTTAATCTTCTGTAGCAGTATGTAGTCTTCTGTCAGAAGTATCTAGTGTTTTGAAAGCAGTAAGTAGTGTTCCACAACCAGCAAGTAATCATTTGAAAGCTGTATCTAGTCTTTTGCAAATAGTAAGTGGTCTTCCAATAGCAGTATTCTAGTCTTAGTAGTACAACTTTAGTTTTCTACAAATAATATCTAGTATTCTGTCTGTAATACCTTTTGCCTGCAACAGCTACTATTTTGCTAGATATAGTTGTAAACATTTTAGATTATTTAAATTTTTACAAATTAACCCAAATTTTAGAACGTATTTTAGATAGATATTTTCCAATCAATTTAATTTCAAAAGTGTAGTGATTAGTAGTACAACTTTAGTCTTCTACAAATAATATCTAGTATTCTGTCTGTAATACCTTTTGCCTGCAACAGCTAGTATTTTGCTAGATCTAGTTGTAAACATTTTAGATGATTTAAATTTTTACAAATTAACCCAAATTTTAGATAGATTTTTTCCAATCAATTTAATTTCAAAAGTGTAGATTTAAAACCGTTTTCTTTGAAAGCAAATCTTCTCTGAAGCAAGTTTCAAGAAGGTTTATAATTAAACAAGGAGCGAGAGTATTTTCCGTCAACCACAGCAGCATCGCGTTTCGTAGTTCATCGCAACTCTTTGAAGTGAGGAGAGCTTTCGCGGGGGAGTGAAAGCAAGGCTTTTTGACGTCCGTGGATTAACCGCCCCATTTCCAAGAGCCACAAAACAGTGGAATTCGCAGCCGACGGCAGTTTTCTTTGTCCTTATGGTACGTCGACGCTCGAAATATTATTATTCCACCTTTCAACGAATCTTTGTCGGTTTCGTTTGTTTTTTTGCCCATCTTTGAATCGGGAACATTATACGAGCCGCGGTAAGAGTCGGTGCCCTTAAATTCGAAACGACGACGATAGCAGCCGGCAGGGGGCCATTTCGGAGTGATTTTGGCGCGGTTCCATCGCCATAAAGCGCTTCTAAACTTCCGGTACAAAATACATATGCATAACGAGGGTCGAAAAAGCGGATCCTCTCCTAATTTACAAGGTTACTCCAACGATATTTGTACATAATTTAAGTGTTGGCGAAAAATATTTTATACCCTATTTTGTGAGGCTCAATTTTTCAAGCCGCTTTGGCTATTTGTTTCTCTGCCAGCGCTAGGTCCCTATACATACATTTTCTGGTCGGGGCGGGAAAGCCGGGAAAGCCGCGTTGTCACAGCCCGACCCTGCTCTCTCTCCCCTCTTTATCATACGCCCGACCCTCCTCGTTACCGCCCTCGCGGCCTCTCTTTGTCGCTCTCACGAATCCTTTCTGTCAGGTCTACGTCGGTTTTAGGGCCTTTGTATTCAGTGGCCCAAGCACGTTTACCCCTTATCGATATAGTAGCAGAAAACAATTTGCAATTTAATTTCGACGACGGCGACGACGTTTCGTCGCTTTCGCGGCTTCTTGCTCGCCACGTCTCCAGTTTTAAACCAAAAGGCTCTTACGGCTTAGTAAACACGCAGATTTACTACGACAATTTAAAAATCCGACAACCCACTCCAATTCCACCTAGAACTCTATCCCAGTAAATCACCTGACCAATGAACCGTACTCTCCAACATTCCCATCGTCCCAGCAATACTCAAGGATTCCTCTCTGTTTCTCCATCTCTACATCAACCTTTCTCTCTTTTTATACTTTAGTTTCTATCACAAAATAATTACTTTCATAATTCAACGAATCTATTTATTAATTTTTATTAATAATTATGAAATAGATACACGCAAAGAAAAAGTCTTTGCTTCATCAACTTTAAAACAATGAAACGTTGGCGGGCAATTCGCCAAACTCAAGTCCTCTATAGGTAAGTACTTAAGGGGCGAAATGGAGTTCGGATTTAGAACCGGAACGTTTATTAAGCACACGGCAATGGCGTCTGCAAAGTTTCCCAGCTTTGAAGTTACGCCGACGCGGTCTCACACTACCTCATAAACACTCCACCTCAATTATATTCGTCTAATAACAACAAATTGAATGCACTTTAGAGTTGACGATCCTATGCATCTCTTCTAGATAATTAACATTTTCGTCATAATTCAGGTCTTATTTTGAAACGTTACGTGAAAGTTAATAAATTTATAATTTCTTTCTTGGTATGAAGAGTCGTAAGAAAGAATCGTTTTATTGCCGATTTTACGTTAGGTTTACATAAAAAAAGAAAAGAACGGGTTCCCTTTCGTCACGAGAGATAATAAATCCGATGAAAAAGACTTTGAAACGGGGGAGAGCGCGCGACAAATTGTAAGAGAAAGACGGCACGTCGACTCGACGATCTCTTTCTAACCACTAGGCGGCAGTTTGCGCGCTTATTATCCGGATATTTAGTGCTTCTAGATAGGCCTGCATGAGGAGTTATAATGGCCACTTCGTTAGGCGTGTTATTTCGGCGAACTTTTTCAATTTACTCGGCCGGCGACAACGGAATAAATGGAAATTAAGCGATCCTCGACGGTTTTTGGCACAAAACCAAACTTCTCCCACATGCATATCATTACCCATTTAACACCATTTACTTTTTTAGATTTCGATGTATAAGAATTTTATTGATTCTATAAAAATTATCTCAACTTTTCTTTCTTTTTTGCAAATACAGTAAAACCTCGATAATAAAGGACGTTCTACAATCCTTAGTATAAATATAAAGCCCATTACCACTTGAAACTTGACAGCATAATTTGATGAATAATAAATATCTTTCCCATTGCTTATTAGTAGTTTAGCTTTTGGTTATCTTTGTTTCTATCTTTTTGACAATTTGCTTAGTGTAAGTATATCTTAGAATGCGATTTCTGCAACCTATGTAATTAACCCCGCATTTGTAACAACTCTTTAGCTCTAAGATCTATTTGCAAACTTAATTTTTTTAAGGAAAACTCTGTCTTTTACTTTTCCATCAATATCGTGATCATCATCCTTATATAGAAGCAATCAGATCCCATGAGTTCTTATGCAAACAAAATCCATGTCAAATTTCATCATAATTGAGATTTTGATACAAATTCAAATTTGTAGTTGGAATATTCCAGAATTGTTTGCACAATACTAAAAATATTATAAAAGCTTTTGCTGAAAGTTACAAAGAGATAAACCCTTTTTGACATTGGGTCTAATTAGATAATGTTTTATCTTATAGGTCAAAAATGTAGTACTTAAATAGTTATATTGGCATCATAAAATTGTGTAGGAAAGAAAAGTAAAGGATTCTGAGAAAAGCTGTACGGTTTCGTGAATATTTCGTTAAAATTACGTGGAAGACTGAACTCGTAGCGGGTTGGCGGCTGTGGCGCTAGAGGTATAAAGTTCGTGTACTTGACAGTAACTTTAATTGCCTTACCCCGGTCGGTATTTTCACGTATCAGTGGGGAAATGATGTTGGAGGTAGAAAAAGTTATTATCCGTTATTTGAAGAAACGCAGGATATCCAATAAATATTTCATGCACTTTACCAGACCGTTCACGACGTAAAAAGTCTCCCCAATATAAATCTCCTCCATCCCCGTATCATCCGGATATTTCATCTTATAAATGTGTATACATTACTGTTCAATAACAGTCATTTGGAAAGGGACTAAACCCGTTTGGACGTTTTGCGTCCTCGTTCCTTTTGAGCCCACGCGATATCTCCATCCTTTGCGTTCAACGCACTCCATATCGATTTCAGGCCGTCTTCGTTCCGCCAACGCGTTTCGGACATCTCTCTCCGACCTCACGGCACATCGCCCGAACTTTAGGTTCTTTCATTCTTTTTTTCATTTCGCCCGCCGCCGTCGCCGCGGAAAACAAACCCCCGATATCTGACAATTCGCCGTTTTGGATTTATTTTTCGTCCGTTTCCGGCTTGTTGATCGCTCCGTTACCCGATAAGCATCGGTTTCAATTGAAATATGAATTTATTTCACCAACGTGTAGGTTGTTGCTCGGTACTCTATACCGTAAAGACATTAATGGTAATTGGGTGCTGAATAATGGACCTGATTGTTATAACAGCGAGAACCTCGGGGCCGTTGATTAATCAGGCAAATATTTAATAGAAATTGCGCAACTCAACTCAACTCAACTCGATTCAACTCGGTATGGATTGCGTAATTTTGTACATAGTTTGGGACGATACGGAAGATAAAGGAGGAACTTTTCAAATAAACGCGTGGGTTGCGCACATGGCGCTCTACGGCCGTTGAATACTGAAGGCGTCGTCTTCGCCGTCGTCGTTCTTTCGCGGTGGTACCGTTTTCACCGTAAATATAAAACGGTCGGAGATACCACCGACTCTCGCTTTAAATACAAGCCACGTATTGCATTAAAATTTAAAGTTATGATTATTGCGATGGTAATAACGCGACCGCGAGTTTGTTTGCTGCGGTCTCTTACCACCGCATCGGCTTCTGTCATCGTTTTAAAACAACTTTCGTTTCCAAGATATCTCATTTACCCATTCATACGATTTTAAAAGTTTTTATCTTAATAAGTTGTTATTCGCAAGCGTACAAATAACGATCACTTACGATCAGCGTCCGGTGTAAAGCAGGCAATTACCTTTTTCGGGGGTTAATCCTGGTAGAATTTCTTTCTACAACACGGACGGCGGCGGTGTGGTGGCAGCAGCGAGAGGGCATTCCGTCGGACCTCGTGCCCGTAATCCACTCAGCTTTTACAGTACTGTTTTCCGTGAGCATCGATTAGTTCCGGCGCTGTGGCCCGACGAGGATGGGAGATTGTAGTTGGAGAGGGATGGGTGCCGAATTGCCAAGTGTAAATCTGTCTGATGGAACGCAGAGAAGCAGCAAGCTTTTATTAATATAAATATAAGAGACCAGCTTTCGAGGTTTATCTCCTACGAAAGAAGTCTTTGCCTTCTTTTTTCTTTCAAAGTATCGGGAATATCGTCGAAGGAGAACCGCTTCTCCATTAGGAGGTGGTGGTGTCGTGCGTACAGAGCGCCCCGGGTAACGGAACGAAATTGCCTCAATTAGTGACCTCTGGGGTCGCGCACGAGTAATTCCTGCTTTGGCCTTGGTTATTAGTACCGGTGCATCGGTAAAATACATTCTCGTTTAGGTACGCGATTTCTATTCACACACAAAATTTAAATAAATAAATTAATAGATGTAACAAATTGCGGTGTTGTGTAAGTAAACTGACAATAGATGAAGTAGATAAAATGTGCAACAAGATTGGCGCCACCATTGTATACAAATAAAGCAATATGTTGTGGGTGGATATGAGTTGGCGTTCTGAGAACATGCGAAACTTTAAAAATCAATAGAATTTATTTAAATTATTAGTATTAGCTTGTTGGAATTAATTATTTAATCTACACAATACTTACTATAGCTAACACTACTTCTCAAACATTTCGTGGTCACTAGAAAAAGAAATTTTATTCACAACGAACCGTTAAAAACTACGTTTACTTACTGGTATAACATAATAAAGAGCTGGTATTGATTTTCTAATCGACACAATAAAAAGTGAGGTTATATTTTCTGTCAAAACATTTCTTGGTTAATACGATTTGTTACTAGATGGGGTGAGTGATGATTTAATTCTATTTGGACTATATAAAAAGAAAATAAAAACCTAAAAATTAATAAATTAATAAAACGATTAAATATAAATATGTAATCGAAAATATTGACAATCGAATCGAATTCTTATAATCTAAATTTGACTTAAACCCAAAATTTATGTTGGTAACTATGATGACATTTAATAAGTAAGTGTCAATCTTTTAAACGTCATATTATTTGTTATGTTATTTTATCCCGAATTATAGCATCAAACACAAGATATTGAAAGAAACTGTTAAGAAAAAATTGTTAAGACACTAGCTGGAGGTAATCTTTTTATTCTTTGTTTGATTTATTTTTATTCTTGATTTCTGTTTTATTTCCAATAGAGGTAGCGAAAGGTTAAGTCTTTCCACGAATTTAGTTAATATTAAAATTAAAAAATCGCCCATACAACGAAAGATCCTTTGATATCAGCATATATCAGTACATATCCCTACAAAACAATGTTATTACGACATATGCGATGGAGACAAGAGCAGAAAATGGTACCACAAAAAGAACTCTCTTCAGAATAACGGAGGTGAAGACGCCATGAAAGAAGTGAGATATCAAAGAGATATGCAATATCCGGGACATTGTCAGATGAGCCTATAAACGAAGACAGAATAGAGAGATCATGTTGAACATATGGAAACTTCAAGGTTAGTCAAAAATAGAGTAAGAATAGTATGTGATATGGTATTAATGTAGCTCCTCGGCCGTAAGCGACCTCAGCTTAATTAAATCACGCATTTTTGAAAGCTATTCAGACATTCTACCAATTTTGTATCCATGTTCTGTCTCGCCCGCAAGTGACCTCAGCTTTATTACTTTTGATATCGATCAAAATGGGCTAGTTTTTTATGTGACCTCGCAAGCGACCTCAGCTTATTTGAACCACACCTCTTTGAAAACTATTCAGACTCTATATCGATTTAGTATCGATATTCTGCCTTAGCCGCAAGCGACCTGGGCTTAACTAATTTTGATATCGTTCAAAATTGGCTACTTTGTGTATGATATGGTATCAATGTAGCATCTCGGCCGCAAGTGACCTTGGCTTATTTAAGCCACGCAACCCCGAAAGCTATTTAGGATTTAGAATACCGATTTAGTATCTTTCTGCCTCGACCGCAAGTGAGCTCGGCTTAATTACTTTTGATATTGTTCAAAATTGCCTAATTTTTGTATGTGATATTAGTGTATAAGTCTCAATGTCACATAAAAAAGCGGTTTAGATATTACTAAGACGCACAGTTTGAGAATCACTGAATTCGTAATAACTTCATTGGATTTAATTTACTTTTTGAAATAAATAACGGTTTTACGGTCTGTATTTGACAAAGCACGCCTCAATAACGCGACGCAACAACGATATTAAAAACAAAAAAAAATATCTCTATTTTATTCCAATTAGTTTTTTGTTGACGGAGAGAAAAAACACCTATAAAAACAATTATCCAATTACTGGGTTATAACGAAATAACCGTGCTAATGATGCTCGCTGATAAAACTCATACAACCCAATCGCGATATTGATACCGCTTTTTGGTGAGGGAAGGGATAATTTTTTCCGTTGTGATTGTTAGGGTTTTGGGGGGTGGTAATGATGGTTTAACGGTGGCGTATGAAAACTGTTGCAGTTTTCGGGCGTTGTGACGTTTCATTCGGATTGTGCAGAGAGAGAGCCGTTATTTGGACGGTTGATTTGTTTTCGCTATTATTTGCCCTCGGTGCTGAAACATGAATATAAATTAAAGCGGCGGCGGCGGGAGCACGACGACCGAGCGAGACGGGAGTTGCGCGAAAGGGAGAAAGAGAAAGATGTCGCTCCGTTCGCTCGGCGCAGTAAAAAAGCTCGTTCGACGTTCGAAATTTACGCTGCAACTTTTTCAACCCAGGGCTCGGTACTCTCGTAAATACGACAATCGCTGCTTATCTATGAAATTACACTGACAGCCTTTAATCTCTTTGTACATAAGCGACAAAACACCAAAACACTTGTTACAATTTTATTATTATAAAAACTCGTCTCTTTATCATAATTTAATAGAAAATTAACTAATTTAAATATATTTTTTTATTATCAAAAAGGAAATAAAAAGAGATAAATTATTTGAAAATTTCATAGCCCGGACCTGGTTTTGTGCCATCGCTAGATGGCGCGCACAGGCAGGTCCATTCCAACATAACCTGTTAGCAGGCAAATGCTGCCGATGTAATCGACCAACGGTTTAGTTCAAGCTCTCGACTTCGACACAAAGGCGAGAGGTCGACGTTTCATTTGGTCGACCGCCGTAGATATTGCTACACAAACAGAGGTTCACTATGTTAGCACCAAGTTAGCGGAGATGGAATTACTAATGGGTATTCGCGTACATGTTTAATACGATACCGACGCTCGCTAGAGGACGCTTTACGAACCGATTCCTCGTTTCAGTAATTGGCGACTTTTCCAAAAAATGGCGCGTCGCTATTTTCCGATTACACACCAACCGGATTCATTTCGACGATCAACGACTTCGACGCTCTCTTATAAACCGAGACGGCAATGAATCAACGTCGGGTTGACTGCGTTAGGCCAATTAGCATTTCAGGTTTATAGGCAGGTCGTGGCCAGATCAATACATAGACGAGAATAAATCATTCAACAGCTGTTTAACTTTACTACTCGCGTAATTTTTAATGATTATACAACTAGAGAATTTATTAAAAAAAAGTATATACTAAAAAACATTATAGAGTGATTTGTTTGAGGTTAAATTGATCAATTATTTGAAGGGTTCGTATAATTCCAAGAACACAATCCTAATTCCCCGGTAGATTTCCGCCGACCGAAACAGTCTGGTCATCTCTTCTTCTTCGATGGGAATTGTCGCGTCCGGCACCTTCTCCTTCTCCTCTCTCTTTCAGTATCAATCGTTTCTCTCGAGCAAACTTTATATTCCGAGTCGAACGACATTAGCTCCGGAAAACTCCCGGCGGACTGCGGGGACCCGGTCCTACTTGGTGGGAGGGGGATCGTTTTCTCTCTTCTACATCTGTTCGAAGCCTCTTCCTCGCTCTCCCTGTGTTCCCGAGATCCTTTCTCATACAAAGGACGAGCTACGAGAAGACTCTCGGAGGCTACGTGATTGCCTCTGTAGTAAACACGTATAATAATAAGCGAAAATGATAAATTTGGCGCCAAAAAATTTTAATAAAACTAATAAAATAATCTGTTTATCTTGAATTTTCGAAAATTTTGGGTTTTGCAGAATTTCTGATCAATTTAATTTGAATGGTTTCTTATTTCTTAGTAGCTATACCGGCCAATACAGAAAGAAAATTATTATTGTCATTTTCTTGTATTCGAGAATATTGAATTTTTTTAAATATTTGCAAAATTCGGGTTGTGCAGAATTTCTGATTAATTTAATTTGAATTGTATCGCATTTCTCATCATTTATAGCAACAAATACGTAAAGAAAAATATTACTATCTATTTCTGGTTTTTCTGGAAAACCGATTTTTCTTGAATCCTTACAATTTTCGAGTTGTGCAGAACTTCTGATCAACTTAGTTTAAACTGCATCGTGTTCTTCATCATCTCCAAAATAGCAACCTATATAATACAACAACCTGACGGCGAATAATAACTAAAACTAGTTCTAACACTACCACTAGAACTAACGCTAGACTTAGAACTAGAAACATTCGGGTTTAGCCATATCGGTTCGGGGAATACCCCGAGTTTATCTATGAACATGGAATAGAGCAACTTGAGGAATAACACGAATTGGATGGTAAATGGTTAAATATACTGATGTATTAAATAGATANCATTTAAGGCATTCTTTTTGATTTTATTAACTGCTGTAATCACATAATTCAGTGAGCGATGTAAGATTTTTTGCTACTAAATGTTGTCGATGAATGACACAATGTACTGTTAATACATTCGGTACTGTTTGTTTTAAATATGCCAGGAAACCTCGATGGCGTCCTACCATTGCCGGAGGACCATCAGTAGCAACGCAGATGATATTACACAAAGGAATAGCTTTTGCTTCAAAAAATTCCTTAAATATAGTTTCATCTTTTGTATCAGTTTCCAAACATACGCTATAGTATCTTACAAATTTAGTTGTTAATACACTTCACAGACTTACATATACTACAACAACTGACTACTAACAACTGTTCCTACTTTTTGCGGACCCCCGAATTAATTTTATTTTGCTACGGACCACCTGAGAACTTACAGGGACCCCAAGGGGTCCGTAGGAACCACTTTGGGAACCACTGATTTATAGCAACAAATACGTAAAGAAAAATATTACTATCAATTTCCGATTTTTCTTGAATTCTTGCAATTTTTGAGTTGTGCAGAACTTTTGATCAACTTAGTTTAAACTGCATCGTGTTCTTCATCATCTCCAAAATAGCAACCTATATAATACAACAACCTGACGGCGAATAATAACTAAAACTAGTAATAACACTACCACTAGAACTAAAACTAGACCTAGAACTACAAACATTCGGGTTTAGCTGAGCGTCTCTTAAGACGGCTAAACCCGAATGCTTCTAGTTCTAGGATTAGTGTTAGATCTACTTTCAGTGCAATAAATATATACAACAATCTAGCTCTGAATAACAGTTGAAACTAGAACTAACACTAGACCTAGAACTAAAAAGTTTCGGGTTTAGCCGTGCGTCTCTCAAGACTGCTGAAGCTGAATGTTTCTAGTTTTAGAGTTAGTTTTAGTTTTGGTTTTACAATTAACACGTGCGTCTGAAGACGTACAGCTAAACCCGAATCTTTGAATGTTTGTATTCATTTAAATATTGTCATTTGGAACAACTAGCCATCAAAAGATGGTGCTAACGTGGAATTATCAGTGTTGTTAAATATCCGGGTATTTATTTTCAAGGGTAAATATCCTGGATACATACCCGGGGGTATTTACCCAAGATGGGTATTTTGAGGTATTTATAAATTTAAT